AGTTGATTATTAGCTTAATTGCTGTGTTATGTCTGTCATCGTTTAGGCCTATTTGAAGTTTTGGACGGAACTTTGCTCAGTGATTTGGAACTAATTACCAGATAACCGTCGCGATTCTGACAGTTGGTATCCATAGTTATTAATGTAGTGAACGATTAATCAAAAGATATGACGTATTCAGTACTTAGTGTGATTGGCTTTATGATTGAAGGTTACGCCCTAGAGTCTTTTTACTGCTTTGTAATTGGTTAGAGTTTTGAAAATGAATAAAGAGAGTTTGAGTTGGTCTTGGGGAGCACAGCACGATAGACGCAGTAGAGAGAGTGCAGTCCTGCAGTCGAGGGTGCAGTCCTGGAGAGTCCTGGGGCGAGCCTTGAGGCAGTCCAGTCTTGGGCGAGTCTTGGGTCAGCCTTGCGATAGTCTTGGGTATTTTTCCCCAGGGCGCTGTGTCTTATAGAGTGCTCGATTGACCGACTAAGACGAGAGCTGAAACGTATTTCATTGTGTGTGTCTTATTTGACTGTAAAGTTAAAGTGACTTTCCCGATCCCGTACCTCAAGGGGACGAGATAGAGAGACGAGACGAGTTTCCCCCCTGACACGTGTGGAGAACCCAGAGAGAAGAGAGAATTTACCACCTGATATTACACCCCTGATATGCCCGAAAAATCATGTTCTAATCAAAATATAATGTCTCGATTTGCGATTTATAGTTTTAATAATAATTCCTTTTTTTGTGCTCTCACAATTTCAGAGCTTGGCACGTGTCCTAATGACTGGTGTGAATACAATGGTTTCTGTTATCGGATGAGAACACAGCCGACTACCTGGGTAAACGCGCAATATGGCTGTATGTACGATGCGGCAAATCTCTTGTCGATTTCAAGCGATGATGAGTCAGACTTTCTACAGGGTATGGAGAATTATACACTTCCAATATTAATTCAATATAGAACCATGAGAAAAACTAATGCAATATTTTGACGTGCTTACAATCGAACGGATCGTCAAAAACATCAATGGTCAATTGAAGTTGTCAAGTTTGAAGTGAAAAGTAACAAAAAAATATTGAGAACAAAACTGAGTAAAATAATTGCATGCATGTAACTGTTTTAGGTACTTTTGGAACTTCGTGGAATGCTACGTGGTTGGGTTTGGAGAGAGTCACCCTGGATACGTTAAAATGGACGGACAGAACGACGCATGCGTCCTTTCACAAGTAAGTCTACAGCAATTATCGACTCTATGAAGGTCTGGAGGAGCCTTTTTATAAAAACCCGTTTGGGACATTTCGTAAACGTCATGAAAACAGATAAGTCGAGATCTCGAGATACATGGCTCTTCTAGATCTTCATTCGCTCCGGGTGATCTGTTCAACAAAAAATACTGCAAGTTGTCATGCGTTTAGTGCTTCGACCATGTAATGTCGCCTTCTATAGTTATGTGATGAATGCGCACTGTTTTTATTTCACCTGGTGATTAGCTGGAAGATAGAATTTTCTGAGTATTGGACTGAAGATGAAGACTGTGCTGTGTACGAAATGCATGACGGGACATGGTCGATTCAGAACTGTGAAAACCAGCTGGCTTTCATTTGTAAGAAGAATATCGGTGAGTAATAGGCAATGGTTAGATGAATCAGTAGACCCCATACCACTGGATATAAAGGAAAATACTGCAGCCTAGACCTTACATTTGACGTGCGAACAGTCTTTTGTGCCCCTTGACCACAGTATTTTTCTCCTATCAACTTGATGATTGAACATTGCCCCAAATAGTGTGTGCTGTGACCAAGTTCATGCGCTATACTATACCAACACCCATGGAATTTGGCCAATGTGGATGACGGATGGGTTATTAAAATTGTGCTGCGGTATATAGAGGGGTGAAAATGTAAGGGCTCGATCGATGGAATATATAATGAAGAAAAAAGATCGCTCCCATTTTTTTTTCAAACTATATTGTCAGAAGTTTATACATGCAAAATTAAATCGACGATTAGTCTACTTTACATAATAGTACGAATTCGTGTTGCTTTGGTTACAGATGGAAGTACAGTGGGTTATAAACCTTGGATCCGAACTCCTGACCCAAGTGAGTATTTGAATCTCGGTAAAACATTTAAATTGTTACATGTGATGATACACTCCGTGTGTGCGAGTCTCTGTGTTTGTGTGTGGGGGTGTTCGAAAGAGATGCTTGTTTCGTTGTACGTATATAGTTTGTGTTTCTGATCCGGGTACTTTATTTGCATGTAGACCAAAACACTGTTGCTCAATACAAAATTGATTCGGAGAACTTAAAGCGCGGTGGTC